GAAACCTCGAGTTTTGTCTTAAGACTTGGTCAGAAAATAACATGGAAAGAAATATCAGTGATTGCTTATAAGTTCACTACAATTATGAGCAGTTAAATATAAAAATTCAAATGAAGTTTGAGTTGAAATACTGCTACATTTGTCTCACTTTTTGTTGGTGTTTTACAAAGTTGGAAGTCAAGAAATAGTCATACTTTCTGTGAGCAACCTATTGCTCTAGTGAATTTACATATAGAAATCCAGACCTATAATATATATTTTCTCACTTTACATGTGAGGAAACCAAGGCACTGAAAAGTTCAGTAACTTAAGCATGGTCACATAGCTAGGAGATGTATTATGAGACATTGTGCTAACTAAAAGTACAGGTTCACATGTTAGCAGTTCTTAGCTTACACCTCCCCAAAGCCCAACAAAATAGACACTGACTCTAAGTAAACAGGGGTAAAGCTAAAGCTTCATGGTATAGCACTTGCCCAGTACAACATGTACAGGGACCTAGATTCAACCCCCATTACCAGAAGGTGGGTGGATCATGAGTTCACAGCCAGCATGGAGGAGGGGCAAGAATGAATGAGAGTATATGTCTGGATGGGCTCAACCCTCAAATGTTCCCTCCCTGCTACTGGCAACCGAATCATTACCATTAATCCTCTATGTTTAAAAATGTTGGAACTGTCCCCATCATCAGTCATGGCAGAATCCTATATGCACCCATTGTTACAGCTCAGAAAGCGTGCGCAGACAGGTCTTTTTTGAAGTTGAAGATAAGTTTATTCAAGTCTAAGTCTCCAACAAGTAAAACAGTCCAGGATATAACAGCAGCTCACAACACTTGTTTGTTAGGACTTTCACTTCTAATACACACACTGTTCAAATGAGCTCAGAAGTTAGTTGTGTAGGAAATGGGACCAGATTGGTTTTTAACTACCACAGACACAAGGACCAACTAAATGTGATTTAGGCTGAAACCTCAAGGCTGGAGTCTAGGCTCAACTTCTACCCACAGCATCTTCCAGAAATGGCTACAGCCCCCAGTGCTTCTCCAGGGAGTTTCTCCGGGGAGTTTCTTCGGAAAGTGACTCCCTCTGCTGCTGCAACAAAGCCATGACCTAAATCAGAAAAGTGCTATGTGCAGTTTAGGCCCTAAAGGAGCACATTCTCCCTATTGATGCTAATAGGAGAATACTGCACACATTAGAGGGCAGTTATATTTAAGTCTCAACAATAACCCTCAAGAAGCAAAGAGGGATAGCCTAGGACAGCTCATGCCTACCTTATATCCTTATGGGGGTTGTTTAAAATAGATGAATTCTGATGATGATCTGTTCCCAAAGTACAAAGACAGACTCTTTAAATGATCCTTCTCTGCTTAACTATGGTACTCGTTTTAATGTAACAATTTCTTTTCTTTGTTTCATTGGCAGAGTCTGGCTTTGCTGTATGGGCTGGTCTTGAACTTACAATCCTTAGCCTCAGCCTCCTTCAGTGGGAGACTTATAGGAGTATAACACTGCACTCTTCCATGATTCCTCTTTTTTTTAAAGCATGTGCTTGGAAAGTTTGTTCTCTGAAGGCTTTTAATCACGGTCTAAGTTAGAACACACAGGATTACTTGCCTAACAAAGACCAACTTGCCTTATTGTAAATCTCCAAAGTGAATACATGAATTTGTTCCCCCAGTTGAGCAATACATGAGAGAATAGCAGTTAAATCCAATTGTCATCAAAGCCCACTGTTAATTTGCAGCACAGAAACATGTATAAAGTCCTGAAAGTATTCTTTGCTCCTCTCTGGGAGAAGTGTGTTATTTGTTGTCTGAACACACCATCCATTAGTGCAATGAGAATTATCTCTGACGTGTCTTCAATCATTTCCTGGTCTGAATTTAGAGGTGTTAACACTCATAACACTAGATGGTGGCAGATCAGAGAGACATTATGATGTGTAAGGGTGGCATAATAGAAGGCAATAATTCACCACCCCCCCCCCCCACACACACACACCTTGCTCTTCCTAGTAAAAATCTTTCATTCTTGGAAGTCAGGAGCCCTGACAATTCCCTGGAGTGAAGCTTTCCCAGCAATCCTCAATGAAACAATTAGAGCACACGCAGAGAGGGGAAAGTTGTTGCCTACAGCTTTGAGAATTTCCCAAGGACCTGTTTAAAATGACTGCTGTCTGTCTTTAAACCACAGACGCAAAACTCAATTGCTCACAAATAATACTCTCTCTGTTCTATCGTAAGCTCGTCCCCTACCCTGCCCCCACCCCTCTCTCTCCTGGGCTGTTTACAACTAGATATATATATTTATTTTTAAAAGCTTCTCATTTTCACCATACTTCTCCAACAGATTAAAACCTTCACATTGTAAAGTACTGAATGACTGTCCATGTTCTAATTGCATATGTACTTCCATTCATAAAAATAGTCCACTGGGGTCATGAAGGCATCAGAACAAACAAATGGCACCTTGAGAGGATGTGTGGGAGCTCCAGTGCAAAGTGAAGAGAAAGACAGTGGGGGAAATGGGAGGCTGCCTACAGGACCATCTTACAGTGAATGACTTAAGAAGAAAGTGTTAACAGCAGGTCAGTAGTAAACAGGCCTGGCTAATGAGTAGCAGCCACAGGGACAGTAGCTGATAGCAGATTTCTGTGCCTTACACTTCCTTTGATGTCAAACAGATAACACAGGAAGGGCTGGTGCTCTGGAACATGGAGGATAACAAAGATAAAAGTAGGAGTCCTGCATCTCAGACCACGTGATTTGAAGGAAAAAAATGTTATTCTCCCTGAACTAAAGTAAATGGAGAAAAAACACACCAAAAATCACCCACACACCCTGCTGAACCTGCCTTTCTTTTGCTGTCTAAGATCAAAATGAATCCTCAGCCTTTGCCTTGCCTGTCATAGAGGGAGAAAAAGTGCAAGAGGCAAAGAGTACCCTGATCCCCTTTCCTTTAGCCTCTGCTCTCTTCTTTCAATATTAATCCACTTACAGTCCCCTGTTTGATTATCTCAATCGATCCTTCTCCTACCCAGTCTTTTTAATTTGGCTGTTGTAAGCTCTCCACAGGGATCCTGCCTCCTTTTGGCATCTTTGGGGACTTTAACTTGCCCTTTCCCAAACCAGTCCTTTACCCTGCCCCTCAACCCCAATGGCTTAGTCCTTTGTGCACCCAATAATGACAACGAGTTCCAGCAGGAGTCACATAGCTGATTCGAGAACTGTTCATCAGGTTGCTCACTTAGGCTTCCCGAGGTCCTCCAGTAGGCATTCCTGGCTAGTGTCCTGAGACTTCTGACCAATTTCAAGAAACATGGACTTTCCAACACAGAGTCCCCTGAAAATGGTCAGATGTGCTCTGTCTGGGGTGTGCATAGGAAAAGCAGATCTCACCCACAAGCATGGGAGGCATCAGTCCAAAAGGAAGGAAGGATTTATGAGCATGGCCACTTAGTCGTGTAGCAGGAAAAATGCACTCCCTGAGTAGTTATCTCTGATTCACACTGCCTTGCTAATGGCACCTCATCTTAAGCACCAGACTTGCCTGGCCTCAGGGCTCCCTTCCACCTTCATCCTCCCCCCTTTCCTGCACCAGTGCCATGAAATTTTAGGAGTCTGCAGTTGTGAAAAAACCACTCTATGAAACATCATCATTGGAGGAGTCGGGATTACTGCTTGGCCTCCCCAGATTTCCAAATTCATAAAAGATGTGAATCAAACCAGGTGTGTGTGTGTGTGTGTGTGTGTGTGTGTGTGTGTGTGTGAGAGAGAGAGAGAGAGAGAGAGAGAGAGAGAGAGAGAGAGAGAGAGAGAGAGAGAGAGAGAGAGAGAGAGAGAGAGAGAGAGAGAGAGAGAGAGAGAGAGAGAGAGAGAGAGAGAGAGAGAGAGAGAGAGAGAGAGAGAACTGCTTCTCAATCTCTGCCTCTCTCAAAACTCTGTTGCCTCGTGCCTACTAGGCATCACACACACACACACACACACACACACACACACACACACTTTTTAAATGGGTGAAGGATTCTGGTGGAAACTGGGCTAGGGTTAGATGCCTAGGTGACCCGAGATATGTGACTGTCTTTTATCCACTTTCAGACGGAAATGCTGGGAGCTGCACCACCCCCTAAAAGTCAATGAGCAAGAAGGGACTCTACCCTCCCCAGGATGACTCTCGGTCTATATGCCTCCCTTCTGCCTTTCCACATTCTCAACTCTGAATCGCAGTCCTCCTAGCCCGGTTTTGCTCAGGATACCACACACTTACTTCAAGGCTCACATACGTTAAAACGTCAGTTATAAACTGGTTAGCAGTGCCCCTTCCCCGGGGAGTTGCAGACTTGGCTGGAACAACTAGAGTCTCCCGCCAGGGTTGTGGGTTTCAAGTTTTTTCAAGGGTCGACTGGCAGGAGTGGGACACCGAGAGGTTGCCAGTAGAGAGTCAGGCGCATCCGAAGCCTGTCCTTTCTGGGCGAATTGAGTATCTCCATAGCGCCCCACCAGCGGTCTGGGGGCACCCGCGCCTATAGGTCCTTGGCGGTAATGGACACATTTCCTTAGCTGAGATGTGGGAAGATCTTGCAATCCCAGTCACCGCAAACAGCGGGGAGTCTTCACACTGTGCATATCGGGGCGCATGTATGGCACACCACACCACCACTAGCCCCGATCCAGAACCTTTGGAAACCTCCATGTGTACAAATTTAACAACGTGCGCGTGTAGGACTGAAAGTGCAAAAGACACTACAGGATCTCACAGGCACAGAGGCGGCAGCTACACTTTCACACCCGGGGTCCATCCTCACGCATCTCCGGAGCCAAGACTGAAAATCTGGTTTCTTAACTAGTTGGGAAAGTGGAATTTAAAGTGGTTTCCACTGAGGGCAACCAGGCAGACGAGGAAGCTAGGACCACCGGGGAGACGGAGAGGCGGAAAAGAGGGAAGGCAGAAAGAAGCAAAGGGAGGTGACCGCCGCGCCCCGTGGATCCCCCTTACCTTGAGCAGCCGAGCCGGTGCCGCTGGCGCTGAGCAGGGCCAGGGCAGGTAACACAAGCATCTGCAGCAAATATCCTAGTCCCAGTCCGCAGCGGGCCGCTGTCGCCCGCAGACCTTTCCTCATCGTCGGCAGAGGTGTGCGAGGAAGGGGAACGCCACCCGGAGACGCACAAACAGCAGAGAGCCCCGCCGGGCAGGAGGCTGAATCCGGCCACCGCCAGGCAGTCCTGAGAAATAAGAGCAGCCCGAGCGCCACACTCCACTTTCTCCAAGGGCAGGGGCCAAAGGGGGTGGAGAAGAGCCTCCGAGGAGGAGTTTGAAGGTCCCT